AGTAGCCAGCCAAAGGTCTATTCCTCCGCTACCTAGGTATGTTTACTCGTATCAACAATAAACGCGGAAGAACAGAGCCAACGATAGGGATTGGCTCTTAATTCACGAAAGTCGATGTTTGATGTAAAGTAGCATTGAGCAACTTTTCCTCCGATTCACTTAACACTAGTATTCGAACCTAGCCTGATAGAATTCACAGAGTGATTGAACAGCACCGGATTTTATGAAGAATGCTGGAAAGAAAGAAGCGAGATTCCGAGTTTCCAAATTGCGGTGCAATTTGAAGAGTGCCCTCTTGAATAGTAATTGCTAGATTCCGTAATAACGCACGGCGAAGATTTGATATACCATTTGTGAATAAGGATCTCGCGTCTTATACTCGAGCTTAGATAGAAGAAGATCTGAAGAGGGTAGAGTATCTTTCATTTTGGTGTGTGGGCAAAGGTATTTCACCCCTCAAAGAGAAGAACCCGAACATCATAAGCTTTTTACACGGAGTTGCAGCTCCGTTATGTCACCAGCTAATACCACGTTAGAGTTGAATGATACGAATGAGGAGTATATCATCTGCTTACAATAGTCTCGCTTGTCGAATACCGATATATACTCCAGTGCCGAAGTCTTAAACAAACTCTTCACCGCAATTGCTATAATCATCGCGTCGAAATGGATGATTTTTATGACTCTGTGGTATAAGGCAAGCTTGTAAGGCGCCGAGTCATAGGGGCTGAATGATGGTGAAGTTATCGTTCAACATAGCATCCAAAATTGTACAAACAATGAAGCTTTCGAACGCAAGAATTCTTTTGGGTGATGGGTTCTCGATCGCCACTAAATCCGTGCGTTCATGTTTAAGCTGCGCTGGTTTTAGATTCTTTGGTGGATCTTCTTGGTCTCCTTGGTTGCCTCTCTGTTGCCAGCGGGAACCTTTTTTCCAGCCCACAAGTATCACACTTTCGAACCAAGACATCAGCCCAGGGTTTCTTCCCCCCCTTGCTTTGGTTTTCAACTTTAGCAGTACATGTGGTCCCTTCCAGCAATAAGGTTTGACAATTCTTACAGATAGAATGCTTCATCTCAGGAGACATTCGCATCATTCCTTTCAATGAGACTGAGCGTAGGTCCGTGATTAATCTACGGGAGAGCGCTTGATGTGATCCCTCTGTGGCATTTGCTACAGCCTTTGGCTCATCCTTCATGACGTCCTCCATTGATGAGTCTAGGGCGATTCCCTTACCCGACTGTTCTTGACTTTGCTTGTCATGTACAGCCAGATAGGTTGCTGCTTGATATAGATATGACATTCTACTGTACAAGACTTTGTTCGGTACTTTGGATACTCCTTTAGTAGCCTGTGACTTTGCCATTGTGCTTAGGAATCCAGATTTGATATCGGATACGTTGCCAAGAGGATGCTGAAAAGCTCAAAGCTGCTTTGGCAAGTTTTCTGGAGCTTAAGAGGTTGTTGACCTTGATGTAACTAGGTATGCAGTAAAGTAAACAAGTTTGTGAAGTCATATATCAGAGTTTTGAAATTCAATAATACCGTAAAAACTCGACAAACTGAGATCCTACTTAACCGCATTTAGTCTAGTGGAAACGCCTCACCCCACAAACTAAATCAATTTGTAAGCAAGAATTTTTTTTTTAAAAAACTTCAATAAATTATTATTAAATCAACAATCAATATTTTGCTTTCAAATTGAAGATCTTATTAGTAGTTAATAATAGAAAGAAATCAAAATCAAAATTCTTTCTAATTTCTAATTTCGAAAAATAATTCACGTGCTTTAAACACGTGAATAATCAGAAAAAGTAGAAAAAATATCGGATTTCAATAAGTCCGGCTGGGGAGATCGACAATATGCTAGGCTAAATGCGGTTAAGTAGGATCTCAGTTTGTCGAGTTTTTACGGTACGTATGAGATGAGGAGTGGTAGTTGAATTTTACGTTTCAACTATGATGATTGCAACTTTTAGATGCTGACTAATGTAAATGATGCCAAGTAATAATCAGTCAAAGCTTTTTCTCCTTCAACATAATTGGCGCAGAATCAAACCCTACTATGTACTCCGTAAGCTGAGCCAAGATTACACGTGATATAATGCTTAGCGGCGAATTGAAGCCGCGCCGACAAAGCAATCCCTTAGTCGCGCTCACCCATCTTTCTTTCAACACCTCTACCTCCATCCATCTCAGTACTTCTTCCCACGACTTTGATCATCACGATCTATCTCTTAATTGATTTGTTTCTTCTTGTCATTCCTCATTTACTCCTAACAATTTTCAGCAAGAATAACGACTACTAAGATTGACCTTCGCGATCGACTTTACCTTTCAACAACAACGAACCTAACCTTTTAACTAAACAAATATCATCAAAATGTCTGCCGCCGAAGAAGATTTGATCGATTACTCTGATGAGGAGCTCGCAACAACAGAGGCACCAGCACCAGCTGCTGGCGCAAACGGAGGAGTCAAGGGTGATTCAGGAAATTTGACCGTGTCTGGAAATGCAGCTGCGGCCAAGAAGGGCAGTTATGTTGGTATCCATTCGACTGGTTTCCGCGAATTTTTATTGAAGCCGGAGCTTCTACGAGCCATTTCCTGGTGCGGATTCGAACATCCTTCGGAGGGTTAGTCATAACTTTCATCCCTAAACTCCATCATTGTCCTTCTCGCAGCGCGTCCGTCCATCTCGCAAGCAAAAATGAATACTCTCTGGTCAAAACTTCAGCAAGTTACGAGCGATCCTGGAATGTCTCTACCGGTCCGATACAAGATTCGGAGGGATGGCAAACATATGCGTTAGGCGAGAATCTCGAAAGAAAGCGGCGATATAATTGCTGGCAAAATTGTAGGAGATACGTTTAAAGTGCATGCCTAGAGACTTCCAGGATCGACTCCAACCGACGCCTTTGTTGCGTTTGTGTAAAGTTGACGATTTGCGCCTTCCAAGGCAAATATCGGGCCTCTACTTCGATCTGTGCATTCTGGGTGTTGTGTTGTGGATGTATTTTGCGTAGATGGGCGGACTTGCGATCTCTTGCACCTGATTATAAATTTGGACACTTAATCTAACTTCGGTCCGATCACTACAGTTCAGCAAGTCTGTATTCCCCAAGCGATCCTTGGTACAGATGTCCTATGCCAGGCCAAATCTGGTCTCGGTAAAACCGCCGTTTTCGTCCTCACAACTCTACAACAAGTCGAGGTAGTCGCCGGTGAAACATCCGTACTTGTGATGTGCCACACTCGTGAACTGGCTTACCAAATTCGAAATGAGTATCAACGCTTCTGTCACTTCATGCCAGATGTCAAGATTGGTGTTTTCTACGGTGGAGTTCCTATTAGCAAGGATGTTGAGGTATTGAAGAATCCTGAGACCCACCCACACATCATCGTCGGTACCCCAGGTCGATTGAACGCCCTTGTTAGAGACAAATACTTGCGCCTCAACAGCGTTAAGGTTTTTGTTCTTGACGAGTGTGACAAGATGTTGGATCAAATTGGTAAGTTTAATTGCAGTCCTTCTAGGTGCACACTGTTGATATTGTTTTAGATATGCGTCGCGATGTTCAGGAAATTTTCAGAGCAACACCACCACAAAAGCAAGTCATGATGTTCAGTGCTACTCTTTCTCAAGAGGTTCGACCTATCTGCAAGAAGTTCATGCAGAACCCTCTTGAAATTTATATTGATAATGAGACAAAGCTCACTCTCTATGGTCTTCAACAATATTACATCAAATTAGAGGAGAGAGAAAAGAATAGACGTCTCAATGAATTGCTAGATGAGCTTTCATTCAATCAAGTCATCATTTTCGTCAAGAGCACAGTCAGAGCCACTGAACTTGACAAGCTCTTGCGCGAGTGTAACTTCCCATCAGTTGCAATCCACTCTGGTGTCAGCCAAGAGGAACGGTACGTCTTATAGCTTCATCGGTTTTTCTGCATTACTGACACGTGAATAGTATCAAACGTTTCAACGACTTCAAGGATTTTAACAAGCGTATCTGTGTTGCTACGGACGTATTCGGTCGTGGTATTGATGTCAACAAGATTAACTTGGCCATCAACTACGATCTCCCACCTGATGCAGACTCATACCTTCATCGTGTTGGACGTGCTGGTCGTTTCGGAACCAAGGGTCTTGCTATCTCATTCGTTAGCAATGAGGCAGATCAAGAGGTTCTGAAGGCTGTTGAAAAGAGATTCGAAGTTGCACTTCCGTAAGCAGCCCCCAAATCTCACTTCGCGTTTCGTTTCCAATACTAACAATCTATAACAGAGAGTACCCCGAGGGAGGTGTCGATTCCGCCGCCTACACCAAGACTGACTAAATGCTCGATACCTTTTATGCTGATCAAACGAAATCTCTCTTTTTTCACATTTCGGCGATCAAGGCACCGATTGTTTATCTAAGTTGTGTCATTTTGAGAAATCATCGCGATGCAAAAAAATTATGATTGTTTTCACGGAAAAAATTTCCTTCGCCATTTGTTTATTTGGGGGGTTGTCCCCTAGTCATTGGGATTATGAGATAAATTGTGCCTGGATGTTTGTGGCTAGAGGGTAGCAATGGAATGATGGTTGTGGTCAAATCTCACACGGTGGGAAGGAAAGCAAGTTAGCAAAGATATTAGGTGCAACCGAAAAGTTTTTTTCTTTGATATGTATTTGTGATCTGTGGCTATGTTCCCTTAAGTGACATAAAACTAGTATTATTGAAAGAGGTAGTCTTGATAATATCCTTGAGAAGCTTCTTTTTCCAACCGCCCGACTGTCACATAGATCTGAAGTATTAGCACTTGGAATCATATCCGTCTCTAGGCTAGCTTGAATGCTTGAGCCTATCCAATCTTCTGAGTCTCTCTGGATATCTGAACCTCTGTGAATGCCTGAGCTGGCATAAGTGCCCACCCAAATCTATGATATTCCTCTGCATCGACCTTGTTAGTTATCAAGAAATTCATCCGTAGCCCCTCCCTCTCTATTCCCTAGACGAGCTTCCAAATCCAAACAATTCCATTATGAACCAAACCATCGTCCCCGACCAGCTCTCTTGTCGGAGTCCAACGTCGACCTGAAAATGTCAATTGATGACTTGCGAAATTAACATATTGATCCAATCTCCTCTGGTCGGTCAAATTTCCATTAATATAACCCAGAAACTTGACACGAAATTCAGGCGCTTCAACGCTTGCGCCCACAATGGAGCAAAGTTGAGATAGAATAGAATCAATGTTACTGTTGGCTTCGGACAATTCTGAGTCGGTGGTTTGTGGGGTGCGAGTCGGCTGGATGGCAGTAAAAGTTATCTTACGGAACCAGTTTTGAAGTTTACAGTTGTGGTGAGCGAGAAGAGTGCGGGTAGTAGAATCGAGTCTGTAGAATCTGTTTTTATCATAATATCAGTAATGTACTGGCTGTGAATTTGAGAAGTGTAGGAAATAATTATACGAACTCGAAGTTGTCAGAGCGTATGTGCAAATAGAAAAGCTTCTGCAATTTGTTTCCAAACTTCTTGATGGTTGAGAAAAGAGGCAATGTGGCATCGGAGAGGACAAAGTTGATGGTTTTGTATAGGTGTTGGAGGAGGGGATAATCGGAAGTACCGTGAAACGCGAGAAGAATGGGCGGAAGGAGGCCGGCAACGGTCATGCAGAGGGACATCTTGTAAATAAAAATCCGAAGCTCAAGTGGGAATGTGGCCATGAGACCTGGTGGTGGGAAAGTTGCAGCGACAGCAACTACAGGAGTGATGTTGCTCATCATTGTAATTGCGGAGGGAGTTGGTGGTGCGATGTTTGCAGTGGTAGAAGTTGTAAGAGTGATGTTGCTCATCGTTGTGCTTGTGGGGGGAGTTGGTAGTTGCAAAGATGTAGTCGCAGTTTGATCTTCGTTCTCAATTGCTACAGTTGTAATGGCTGATGATTCTTGTGGTGTGCTTGTCATGTTATTGTTCTCCATTGTGCTGGCTTCAACAATAGCTGATGGTGTTTGTAAAATGCTTGTAATGTTATGTTTCTTGTTGTAACTGATAACAGCACAAATTGTACCTGTTGTATTGTTTATTCCGGGATTCAAAACACTTGTGGGAGAAAATTTGGTTGCAAGTTGGTTGCTGTGTCGATTTGTGATTTGTTTAGTGCCTTCGCGTAATTTTCAGGAGAGCAAGTTGAGAATTCAACTGTTGAAATATCCAATCAATTCGAATTCCTGGTGATGACAAGTGCACAAACAACTTAAAAGAGAAATATTATAAAGATTTTTTCTCAAAACTTGTTCATAGGAAAACTATTCTTACTATGATGATCATGTAAAATTACTTAGTAAAGTGTAAAATTACCTGAATCACACTAGTTGCCTGCACGTGCCAAGAATAGGTTTCGTATCTGAATTTCGCATATTAGGTATATTTACACAACATCTGGATTTTGTGTAAAAGATTTTGCTTTTTAGATACGCTTTAGTTTGAACCCTTTGATTCTCTACCCAGAACATTATCTTTGAAGTCCTTCCTTGCTTCTCAGACTAGCCATCCTAATATCTCAATTTCTATCTTCCAATTATCAACCCCAAATCTCTACTAACGCTCACATTTACCAGCACAAACCCCAGCACAAACCCCAGTCACAACCTCAAAATACCTCTGATATGACTCTTGGCTCTCGATTCTTAATGTCTATTTCTCTACATCGTCTACTTCCTCGCTCTATCATCTTCGAAAGCCTCTAATAGTTAGCTTCAGTCTCAGTTTCCATCACTCAAATAATTCACTCAAAACTTTTTAGCTCTCTTTCCATCCTCGCTCTTCCACACTGTCTCAAAATCCTGCAAGTCTCTTGAAGTATCCCTTAAAACAAAATAGATTAAATACATCATCTAGTAGCTCCAATTTCCAAGCTCTATAATTACAATTGCGCAGTATCATTGAGTCGTTTTCATTCTACGAACAGGATTTCAAATCAATATGACAAAATAGCTACAAGAAAGGAAACTGGGTGTGGGCCCAATGACTTGGGCATCGTAGGCTGCAGTCTAATTCACTATGATACTATGAAAGAGCCTAATGCTCTGTTCGACGCGTTCAATCCAATAGTTACACTTCCTCAATTTCAAAAATTGAGCAATGGACATGCAAGTAACGGCCTTTAGATAGCTCAGAAGGATCAGAGCACTCACATCATCTCAATCAAACTTTGAGAAAATCCCATCACTTGAACGGCCTTCAATATGCTCTGTAGAGCTAGCATCACCATGATCATCTCTATATTCACTCATATTGCTTAGACGTGTTTGTTTTTCTCCCAGCTAGCTATCTCAAACCTTTGGTGATCTGAAAGATTTCCTACTACAGTACACACGTATGTTCGTAATAGACGCTATAGATTATTATGCCTAAGAAATGTTTATTACGCTCATTGGTACTAGAAGAAGACACTACGAGGCACCTAGTTAGTACACAGTCTTACGATCTCGGTGTGTTATAACCTCGTTCCAACTAACCAGAGTCTTTTGCTACAAACTTTCGATTGCAGCATCAAGACCAATCAACGTGCCTCCCAATCAGCCGCATTTGCCCCTCTTCCAAATCGACTAATGCTGGCTGATATTCCTGGGTTTCTAGTACCAACACCTAGTTGTCTTAATCTTAATCAACCGCAGTCTACAGTTCTTTCGCTCTTGTTGTCTTTGATGTTCCTCCTCACGAGCCTCAACTATACACTTCCAACCAGCTGGAGGCATCCGCTGCCTACACATTCTATGCAAAATTCTACAAAACAATGTTCGCTCTTGGCCGCGAACTTGGTCCTGGACACAACAACTCATTCGATTTTCCCCTCAAATTCCATACCTTGGAATGATCTCGCAACCAAATCACAGCATCGAAACGGTGTGGAAAATGGCCGGGGGTTTTGTTGGCGGTGTCTTCTGGATCACATGAAGAGGCGGTCTCGACGCTTCATCGCTTTATACGTATTTATCGCTGGCTTTCCTGTTTCAAGAGACGCTCAGAGCCCTCATTCTCAACTCATCAATGCAGGGCGGGGCTTTTTGAACCTCCTTAGCTTTCAAGAATTTCTCTCGCAGAGTAAGCCCGAGGACCAGCGTCAGTTATTCAGTCGTATCGATGCTATTTCTCTTGATGCAGACGAAGAGAAGCCGCTACCATTAGCTCATAGATATTGCAAGAGAAGCTAGCAGCACCTGAAAATTCCAAGTCTCAGTTAACAATCTATCAGTATTAGCACTGGCAATCAAAAACCAAGTAAGCGTCTTAGATAATGTCAGCTTTAACATCGCTACTGCGTCACTCAACATCATCATTAGCCCGGTAGGTCGCGACAAGTCTACTTTGCTATGTACTGTTAGGCGAAACTATTTTCTCTAGTGGAACCATCTATATAAAAATATACAATATGGCTTTCTATCACCAGAATGCTTGAATTCCCAACTACACCATTTGACAAGCGGTTATTGGCACCAACGATTATAATCAAGAATGAAATTGAGAGACACTTAGGGCGTCTGTTCTCAATATAGACGTTGGCAAGATTACAGATCGGGCGAAGCCGGGCAATGATAACGGGGGCTTACTGAGCAGCGACCAGAAGCAGAGAGTTGCGAGTAACTGAAATCTTACAACGAAACTTAATTCCAATGCTAATGAACTCTCAGAATCCATGCCTTGACTCGCTCCATCTATTCCCGAACACCGATTCTATCCCCGACGATATTTTAACCACTCTCGATCAATCGACGACTATACTCGTTTTCTCTCGGCCGTTATCCGAACAGCAGTGCTGACTTCATCAAACCGAGACAAAGACCAAGAAGTTTTGAAGAGGCAGTTCCGAGCCTCACATTGATAATGAGAGTGACGTTGTCGAAGAGAAATCGACACAAACAGCCATTGAAAAAAGTCTCTACAGACTAGCTTCCAGAAAAGGTCCGCCATATCCCTCACTCGCAGTCGCAGGCGCATTATCTACCATCACCTCGCAAGTCCTACGCAGCTGGAATGAGCTCCGGGATCTGATCCAAATACCAATAAGCCTGATGAATAAACTATTACCTATTCTCCTGCTCATCGACGTCTTTGTACACTTTTCCACTCTCTCCTTCTGGTTTGCTATGGCAGATTATCATTATCCCCAAAATTGCCAATAGAATGCACAAAGTACGCCTCAATGCTGTCATGACAACCACGCTCTCTTTTCTCTCGGACTCAGACAGCTGAAGAGATTTAGCCAGGATACAACACTCTTCGCGTCAAACCACCACGTTGCGTCTTCAGGGCACTCATCAGTACAACTATGATCATCATTCAATACGTGGATCTCATCTCTGATTATATTACACCGTCGTCTTTCTTCTTATTCTCTTCAAAACTATAGGTCTCACAGCGTTACATATCACCTCCACTCATCCCGAAACCCCCAAATCCCAGACCCGGAGACCAAAACGGTTCTATTTCCGCAATTAGAAAGCCAACTACTCCCGTCGAGCGCACTCGCTTATGATTAGCAAGATCCGCTACTTCGTAGACACATGAGATATTGTACCAATCCCAAAATTCGTTTTACCACACACATATATACATTTCAGTACCGATTCGCGGTTATCCCCAACACATTTGCTACTGCGAACGCTAGTGAGTTATTGAGTACCACTCTGCTTGTCTTTAGCTCCTCGTTACGAGGCGGATTGGGGGTGGCTTTGATGGCTGTAGTGTATCTATCTACAAGCTGATCTGAAGTGTTCTATTACAGAGTAGACTACTTGAGATTTTGCTAGGAGATATGATACGTCTATAGTTGTTTATGAAGTATATACCTAGTGGAAATGATAAAGAAGGAGTCAGAGCAAACTGAGATATAGCCAAGTCATGGCGAAATTGAATTCCAGAACATTTCCTCCCCACATAGCTCAGAGCTCAATACTAGACGCGTGATCACCAATATTTCATTTTATAAAATCTGAAGAATCAGTCGCAGTTACCGGTTCATGGAGAGTGGAAAGAATAACATTGTTCTGACGCTCATCGGACCTCAAATTTTTACTCTATGTAGGTACCATGACCACTACTATCACCAGCCTCAACATCTCTTCTATCCCTCACATTCCTCACAAACCGCTTCATCAGCGCATCCCGACTATATATGACTCATTATCAAAATGATATCCCAGCACTACTCTCACTAACCATCCACCTTTCAAAATAACAACTAAACCCCCATAATCTCCCTCCTCAACCAAGATGCATCTCTCATCATTCGCCTATGCAACCCCATTTCATCACAGGAAACTACATACATATATGTATGAATCTCATACAAATATAAAACTACCGGCTAGCTATCTATTCAGAAAAAAACTCCTATCTCCAAGCCGACACTAATACACTCGCATATCCATACACACATCCATATATATATTCATACACATATCCATATACACATTTATACACACATCTATCCATACATCTATACACACATCCATACACCACACCACACCCCACCTAACCCAAAGAGAAGAAGAAGAAAAGTAAAACAACAAGTACGAATTCAAATTCCCTTCAAATTCCCTTCAAATTCCCTTCAACACAAACAACACACTACACACTACACACTACATACATACCTACATAATCAACCCTTCACAAACCTCACAAACCTCACAAACAAACAGACTACTCATACCCAACCCATCGCATGATCCAAACTACATCGACTGACTCTGTAGATAGTCAGTTTTTCAAATTCAAATTATGTTTAGTATTTACAACCATACCATACCATACCATACCATACCATACCATACCATACCATACCATACCATAACCATACCATACCATACCATACCATACCATACCATACCATACCATACCATACATACCATACCATACCATACCATACCATATGTGATAATTTATATTCAATAAAAACAAGCAGAGTAAAGCAGAGTGATTTCGTAATTTCATAATTTCGTAATTCCTTTTTAGCCGGAAAAAGAGAGAGAGAGAGAGAGCGGCGTATTAACGTTATATTATATTATATTAATATTAATTTATATTATATTAGTATTATATTATATTATATTATTTTATAATTATATATATATTATATTATATTAATATTAATTTTATATTATATTATATTATATTATATTATATTATATTATATTATATTATATTATATTATATTATATTATATTATATTATATTATATTATATTATATTATATTATATTATATTATATTATATTATATTATATTATATTATATTATATTATATTATATTATATTATATATATATTATATGATATTATATTGTATTATATTATATGATATGATATTACTATCTATCGATTATACAATATGTGATTTAATACTTGATACTTGATACTTGATATCTGAGGAGAGGTTTAAGAATACATATATAGATTTGAAGTACTTGTATTGATTTGATAGGTGCTGACTGATTGGTAGGATGGGGGATGGGAGATGGGAGATGGGAGATGGGTGTTGGATTGGGTTGGGTTGAGTTGAGGGGATGGGTTGAGGGGAGTGTATTAGGGTGGTATGTATATATGTATATATGTATATATATAAGTAAGAGTATTTATACTACACTATAGGATAGATTTTAAATTTAAAAAACAGTACTGATGATATATATAAGGAGTAGTAACCCAACTCAAAAACTATAAGATTCTCAACACCGGAGAGTACCTATATGAATGATACCTCTCCCTCAGTCTTCTCTTCTCATCTGAAATCTCCATGTATTCTTTTCACCTCTATGACTGTAGATATTCGAAAGCTTTCTCGTTTATATTCATTCCATTCTTTCCAATCCCTTCTTCCGTTGATTTTTTCCTCGTATTTATTTTCTCTCATCTGTTCGTACACGTTGTATTTACGTCGTTATGTCTTCTCTCTTTACTTCATCTTTACTCTATACTTGATGAATTTACACACTTTCCTCCTCATCTCTTTATTGCTTCTCCTTCTCCTTCTCCTTCTTCTTCTTCTCCTCCTCCTTTTTCTTCTTCTCTCCTCATCGACGTTCACTTCTTTATCTATCCCTCAAGCGAACGAATTAACAACTGCTATATGTCACCTGGAAGCAGACGCTCAAAGATTGAAGAGAAAGAGGAAATGATGCAGGTCAATATCTGTAGGCGGAAACAATTAATTTTCTTAATAAAACAAGACTGCATTGCATCTCTCTCCACCCAACGTTGAAGACCTTGAGCTCAAGAATTCAAAGCAGGATGCCCATGAGTCCAGAGAGTTAGAGTAGATGTAAGCTTTCACTACCCGAAGAACAGATCCATATGCGAATTGATAGTTGAAATTGGTACCTCAAATCGATTGAACATTCTAATCCGATCGAGAAAGTGAAAGCTTCTAAATGTCGGGTTACAGTCCGAGCTATCGGAAAAGCTGAGTCCAAGGTACGTATTGATTGTGAAGGACAAAGTATTAGACAATCCAATCTTACTCTTTGATCTTGAATGCTTATTTTCCACACAATATCCCATAGACTTCCATCCAAGTCTCGCTTCGAGAAATGAAATCGTTACAGTAACGACCGAAAACCCCGTCCCAGAAATGTAGAAAATATACCATGTCGTCGCACAACCAATAAAATCATTTCCTCAAGCGCGCCACAGCATAAACAAAGAGGAGGTGGCTTGCCTACCTTTCAAGCGCCCTACACCACTCAGCGTTACATTGAAGCAACCCGTCCAAACCACCGACAGCCATACGTTCCGCATCCTTCATCGTCTAACGTTCTGACTGCTGTGGCAATGGGTAGTTATCTTACAGCACGATAGATTATCCGCTCGGAGATTTAATTCGCTCGTGGGCAGGGAAAACAGATAGATCGAAATTTCCTGTTCTTTTCAAAGGATCTTGTAATCCGTACCTGACAAAGCATTTTGTTTTCGTGGACTGGCGGGATACTACCATTGAATCGACTGGCTGAGACGGCTGAGACAGGGCGGGTATTTCGAAACGCTAAAACGCTAAAACGACAAGATACTACATATATACGGTGAATTTGCATGCATGCACGCACGTGAAATGCACCATTGTATCAATGCTCTGTCATTCTTCTGGGTAAGAAAGATTTCCGTGATGTAGTATTCCTGCCTTGCAAGCATTATGAGAACGAACGGGATCCGAATCTCACATTGAGATTGAAAATCCTCCGTCAGAGTGAGGAACCTTGCTTCCATAATTCCTAGTAAATACTGTACTACAGTATGAATGACATTTCAGTGAGTGATATCAGCGTCAAGATAAGATAAGTATAAGATTGCGAGCAGCATAGCAATTTTCAATATAAGCCAACGAAAACATGATGGTACCTTATTTCTCACTATGCAGACCTACCCAAAACACATTATAAGTCCGAATCCGAGTCTGAGTCCGAGGTAACGGTAATTTCGGAGGGTTTGTTTTCGATCTCCAATGGAAAACTTCGACATGAAATTGCCTCCGCTTTGGAATAATCTTGGCAAGTTGCAACATTGCCTTGGGCTGATAAATGGGATATTATTTTATTCCAACCTTCGGTTGTACCTGGGAAGCTAGAACATGTGCCTCATTTCGTTTCTTTCGAGTTGATTTGTAAAGAACATGCCGCACAAGAAAGTTACTTTGATGGAATAGCAGTGACTTTAAAATTCCATCTCGTATGGACCTTGAAAATGATGGCTGTTCATGTCAGATTGATCGTATATTGAAGGGTTTTATTGGCCGGGTGTATTTAAAAGACTCGAGGCATTCAAGATTTTCTGACCCTAGAATTAGGTGATGGGATATACATCTGCAAAATTAAAGACTGGCACATGAATTGGAACCCAATTGAGACGTAAATGCCTGGTATGAGACCAATAGGCAAGACCTGTGCTGATTTGTTTCTTGTTGCCTATTTGGTCAACCATGGTTTCGATATCTTATATTGACTTTCGAGCCTCAGAGGTGCATGTAAAGCGACAGCAAGATTGGGTTAGCTTAGGAATAAAAATCCCATAACTGTTGACATCAAAATTGTGGCAGCCCTAGACGAGCAATCAGTGACTGACTGTCAGTCAGATCGACACAACTATCCACAATAATCCATGCGTATCCGTCGAAATAAAAAGGAGAACGATACATGGTGGGAGCGTGGATGGGCAGTCTTCCTGGGTTGCCGAAGGAATCATTCCACTTTTTATCTCGAAAGCTTGTTTATAGTGGCGTGAGTCGAACTTTGACTTGGCGATAGCTTCGGAACGCGTCAAATATATGGAGAAGAAAGGTTCTAGAGTAGAGATACACATGCTTCTAAGTTCTGATCTTCTTCTCCCTCAAAGTCCCTTCTCCTGAACTATGGGTATTATGGAGCCTCCTTTTTTTCTATGAACCGATCATTTCGAGCTGGCTGCATTAAACACAGTCTCGTACTGAGATATGATTCTTTTTTTGGAAGATTGTTGTCGTGGAGCCTGTGGGGACCATTCGATTGCTTCTGCTAAGACGAGACATTAGTTTTACAGCCGACTCTGTATACATATCTTTGGTATCGTTATAGTACGATTGGATAGGTATCAAGATACAACACTGAATTGTGCATGGTGCAGAAATTTGACCAACTATCCAGGACATCCGAAGTTTCCGCTCCTCTATGATAGTCGATAGAAAATACGCGTGTCAAACCAATGCGGACTTCGTTATCAACGAGAATACCGGCTTTCCATGGAACCTTGTCGTGCTGCATTCATTATAATTTATACCTGCATGTTCAGGTTGACCAGGATTGCGATAGTTTTTTCTTCCCACTGTGCTCTCGAGTCTCTATTAGTATCCTCGTAGCTCTTTTCATCGCACAGACAATCATCTCATCATCAATCATCATCAATGCCCCCCTACCATCAATATATAAATTATTGACCCAGAGATTCCAACTTTTGATAAATTGCTGTGAGCCTTGTAGGGCCTGTGAGACACATGCTGTCATTGTTGGTTGCAAGGTCGAAAGCAATATCGAGAGATTGAGAGTGAACTTTGAAGGATTTCTGATCTTCGGTACAACTGGCCATTATTATATATTCGGATGTCCACGCGAAGTATCGTGGTCAGTCTGCTGTTAAGATATAGTACAGTAGGTGAGTGGTGAGGGGAGCCAACGCATGATAGACGATTTGGTCTGGCGGCCTTACGAAGGAAGGATTTGACAAGGAACGTGAACGTGTGCGAGCAGGCGGGCGGGCCATATATTGCGGGTATTGAAGATTGGTTTTGTGACATCAATTTTTGATTATCGTGGGGTGTTGTTAAATCTTGGGAGAATGAATACATACCTAGGTCCTCTCGTCCTATAGGGTGCGGATTCCGTATTCCGTATGCGATTCCCTTTTGGACTTTGTGTGAATGGATGGATGGGATTGATCATGAGAGACCAACTCTTTGGGAGGATTTGGGCTGTTGCGATTCGACGTCGTAGTTGAGTGCGCCCCCCTGCAATCGCAATTTGGTATTTATTTGCACAGCCTTTCGGACGTGGAGCGTCTTCCCCTACCTAGGTAATAAGTCTGACAATTGTCATCTCATCCAGCCTCCAGAAGATGTATGCTTTACTCTCAGCCTATAAAGTATTTCTTCCTGATATTGCGCCTCTTCAGAACCCAAGCACCGCCTATGTTTCGAGTTAGGGGCTCGACTGCATTTGTTATGGGCGCTTACACGATAATCTATCTAGATTCTACCGACCTTGCTGTACGTAGGTACTTTGAGTTTTGGAGAGACAACTTTGAGATACATCTAGTACTAGGTCGGTCGGTACCTGAGGTTTGTGTGATATAAGGTTCCGGTTCCAGTTCCAGTTCCAGTTACAGTTCCGGTTCCAGTTCTAGAAGGGCTCATACTTCCAACGCATTTGATTCCATTCGTCTAATAATAGCCGGCTCTTCAACTAGTCGGCCATTGGAAGAGCCGACCATTCGCTGCTATGTTACTCATTTTCGCGGCTGGAGGAGATAAACTAACGTGTATGTACTACTACTGGATCCCTAGATAGATAATTATCATAAAGTCGGCTTGAAGTGCCGGCTATATTCATAGTTTGCGGGTAGCTCTGACCTGGACAAGATGGTAGGAGGGACGGTTCGAGGGATACCCAATAGAGTAAAGTAGAGTCAAGTAGAGCACATTCTGGTGGTTTCTTTCACGCCGGCTCCCGTACTTAGTTGATATCGAAAAGGAAATCTTGAATTACTTTGGTCGATATCAATGATTATCAATGCAAATCGCAAATAGATCGATTGATCCTTTGGTTCGCATGCAGTCGTTCCTTCCTTTTTCAATAGCACAAGAGCACAATAGTAGGTACAATCGCAACTATCATCAGTACTAGGTGGTTGATACTTTAGGTAGGTACCGGCCGACCTTCTCAGGGTCTTTCTCTTCGCATCCGCCAGAATTGTTACTTCCTAGAACATGAGTAGCGGCGGGAAGGATCCTGTTGTATCGACTTCTCAGGTGGTATTCATTGTAACATATCTGGTACTGGTGGGTGGGTAGGTACCTGTAAGTACCTATCTCGAGAACTTCTCAAAGTGTAAGTATGTGTAAATATGTGTAAATATGTGTAATTATATGTAATTATGTGTGTATATATATATATACATACAGTCGACAGGTCACCCACCATCTACTACCCAGGTCTTGACCATTGCCGCCATCATCACCGTCTCATCGACTTTCTTCACTGAAACATTCACAACTTTGATATTAAACTCTGAGATAACTCGGTACAGGATACGAGATAATTTGCCTACTCTGTACCTGTTGAAGCATAACACCTCCTTTTTATTATGATTTTTCATTTTGTATTATATTGTCAAAGCAATCTTTGACATTCGCCTTGGGAAAAGTGTATATATATGGTTGATCTACTTGATATTGTCCGGGTACCTGTCTGCATCGTGCACTGTACCAATAAACGTACCTAGGAGGCAGCTCGATAGATACTACCTCGATAACTCACATATTGCAATAAAAGGTATAATTACAATTGATTAGAATTTAGAACTTAAAACTTGCTTTTGCTTCTCTAGCTTTTGTTACCGTGTACCTACCTACCTCTCTCTCTCTCCCTCCTGCCTCCCTCGTAGTTGACTGCAGTGATCAATAAATTGCCGTGATATAAGTTCATCAGCCACCTGGACAATACGGAGAGCCATATCTCCATGGCGTTGCGAAAATAAACAGCCTTCCATCTACCTCTCACACAAGTTCATCCACCACACATCTTGGCATCAGCACATTCATCTTTTTTTTCTTATCAAGGGAGAGAAACAGGCCAGAAGGATAGAGAAAGGGAACAACAATCCAGCAGGAACGAAAGTCCTTCTTCAAGGTTTCAGCAAGGGAAGGGAAAGGGAAAAATAAAATACACAAACCAAACAATTTTCAACCGCATTCGTTCAAATCATTCTCCTCTGTCAGCGCAATCAAAACCAGCGTCGGAAACTTTCCATTTCATTTATTTAATTTTTAATCCTTGGATTTTCCTTCATTCTTGTCAACAGCCTCTCTCTCCGTGTCTCTCTGTCTCTCGGTCTCTCTCTCTCTCTCTGATTTTCTGTCTCTCTGTCTCTCTCGCTGTCTCTCACTACATACCTCGCTCTCCTACGGTTCTGCCGGTACGTTCTCTATCAGAGACAGACAGACTCTCGCAGTACATATATCCATTGTGCGTGCCTCTCTCTTTTTCTTAATGCTCCATGATCCACGTACGTATTCCAAGGATTATTCGGTCAAGGAAGTCAAGGAAGTCAAGGAAGTCAAGGAAGCCATTGAACGCATCCACCCCAAATACCTACTGCGTACGTTCCGTAAGCTGTTGACCAATCCGACGCGTCTGTTATATACGTAGCACATAAAGTTTATTATTAAAGTTAGACCTCTAATTCATATTGATTACTCTCCGCAGATAAATCACAAACAACGCCAACGCCTTTTCTGCTACGCCCTGTTTTTTGTTTAATTCCTCGCAAATTCGCAACCTCCGAAGAAAGTTCAAACCCCATCTGGATTTCGGATTCCTGAACAATCCACATCTGCATCCACCATAATCAATCAATAAAATCCACACTCTTTTTTCCCTCTGCGGTTGGAGCAGACAGGTCCAATTATTCACGGTCCTGAATTCATTCCCACCACCCAATCCAGGTCCATCGAACAATAAAAAAAGACTCGTCCCGTAACCTAAAGAAAGACAAAGGGTCTCTTCAGGCCTTCACGCTCGTTTTACCAAACAAAATTAGGACGATCAGAACACCAGAACTATAGAAGTTCCTCGCATCCCCACCCAGGCCGCCTCGGTTTTGGCACCAAGACAGGGGAAATACAATAATACAGCTGCAAAAAGCAAATCCAATTTCACGACTAGTTTTGCCTACCCAGTTTGACTCGGTACCTCAAATCGAACGAGGGACGGCAGAGTGAGCTGCTTAATCTCAAACTTGGTCAAATACTAGACCAGCATTGGTCAAGACTCAAGATGGCACCCACTCCTCCCCGATTAAGAATTCTATCAGGTTTGTCTAATGCAAATGTCCTTTATTTCCCACTCCACTTTTATACCACGCTAGCTGAACACCCATCTCCCGCCAATATCTTCATTTTTCTTATGTTGTTGTGGTTCACCGTGTGCGATTTCGTAGATTTGTTCATATCGTCGTCGTCGTCAAAATGGGAGGCAATGAACTAATCAGTGTGTGTACAGTTGGTGGAAATGCTGTCTCTGCTTTCCTGTCATGGAGGCTTCAAGCCACCAACGCTTGCGATGTGACATTGGTGTGGAAATCTGGGTTTGACGCTGTACACCAATACGGGATATCATTCAAGTATGTGCAGACGGCAAATATACCTGCAGCAATCGACTGACCCTTCCACAGATCTACATCTTTTGGCAACGAACGATTCAAACCACGACATGGTATGATTTTCATGGTCGAATTCCAGCTGAGAAAAACAAGCGAATACTGATGTATGATCTCTAGTCGTCCGCACACCGGAAGAAGCTGCAAGTAACAAAGAGGGCCCCTTCGATTACGTCCTGCTTTGCGTAAAAGCCCTACCAGATGTATACGATCTCGCGGCAGTAATCGAGTCGGTCGTCACACCACAACACACATGCATATTAGTCAACACTACAAATACACTCGGCGTCGAGGCCCACCTGGAATCGAGGTTTCCAAGCAATGTCGTGTTATCACTCGTCTCGGGTGCTGAGATAGTGCAATTGGGAGCAAGCGAATTTGAGCACAAAGGTTCCACCGAGATATGGGTTGGACCGGCGACAAAGAACCCTTCGATGCCTAGCACTATACAAGGAGATATGGCTGAGGCATTGGCGATGACTTTGAGTGGTGGGCAAGTTGAGTGTCATGTTTCCCCAAACATAATGCAACAGCAGTTTGAGAGGATGATTGGGTAAACTATCATTAAAGCGTCTTCCAGGTTGAGTTGCTTGCTAATCCTTATTTCCAGACCCATAGCATTTCATCCACTGAGTGTAATCTTCGAAACACCGTCGCACGCTGCGTTACTGGAGAAAGTTGGCGTAAAGTCAATGATATCTGAATTATTTGACGAATTAGTCAACCTTGCCCAAGCACAACATTGTGAATTTCCCGCAAACTTCAAAGAAAAGATCATGGAGGATATGACAAAGCCTTCCGACGTCAATAGCATTATGTATCAAGACTATGCCGCCAAGCGACCGATGGAGGTTGAGACTTATCTTGGATCCCCTATAAAGCTTGCTCAGCTTGTTGGCGTTAAGGTGCCTCGGATAGAGACTCTTTACCCAATCCTCCATAATCTCAACATTGTCAACCAGCAAAGAAAAGAGACCAACCTCGCACCAATACCGTCTCCTATGGCTCCTGCCATGAGAATGTCGTCTGCACCCCCTTCTAGACCTATGATGAATGGAGGACCACCTGGGAGAGGTAGAGGGCGTGGACCGCCTATGGGTCCTCCACCGGGTATGCGGCGCGGACCAGGTGGGCCACCGAACGGTTTTGGCCGACCTCCATCAAACGGAGCTCCCCAATCGCGAAATCAGTCGAGGCGGGGTTCTTTGGAAGGTAATGATCTCGAAGAGTTCAGTCACTTGGTTTTGTATGATGATATTCCTGAAGGTGGAGAAGCACCCTATCCTGCTGCAGCTGGCGGTGGTGGGGGTGGTAGTGGTGGTGAGATTGCCCTAAGAGAGCGAGAATTAATGCTCAGACAACGTGAAATTGCTCTTCGGGAGCAGGAGATGCGCATGCGTCAAGGTGCAGGTCCCCCTCCTAGATCTCGTCGAGGTCCATCTACACCTTCAGTGCGAAACGGGGGCGGCTTTGACGATGACGATGACGACGATGACTTCTATGTTGATCCTGCAGATGCTCCACCTGTTCCTCTGATCGATCCCGACAACTTTGATATGATGAGCGTTACATCACGTCGAAACCGTGCAAAGCCGGGGCCAACCAAACAACAAATGCGTGCTAATCCAGAATTCGATAACGGCCCCCCTCCTCCTCGTCGAGGCGGTGGATTTATGCGTGGCAACATTCCCCGAAATCGATCCAGCGCCAGAATAATAAGTCAAGTTCCCGGCTTACACGACAATTTGATGGATGATCCCTTGATGGGTTATTCATCCGATCGATATGGTACTGTGGATAGACGAGCAATGGGTATGGAATCGAGGTCGAGTTCTTTGACAGCCGCTCGGCTGGACGAGTTACAGTATGGGTCATCTGGTCCACCACTTCATGGGCAAGGTGGTCCATATCCAACTGCAAGGAGAGCAAGTCAATCGCCAGGAAATCCGTATAGTCCACAAGCACAGAGAGCAAATGGAAGACCTTCGCCACCGAATGGGTATATGGCAGGGTCTATGAATGGCAGACCGTCGCCTCCAGGGGGTATGAGACAGCCTGCACCTCGGCACCCGCCGGGACAGGGGAATATGGTTGCACCGCAACAGGTTGAGCAATATGCTGGGGTGAGCGCCCTCCATCCACCAAAAGGTCCTATGAACGTGCGAAGTCTGACCGGCAGTGCTAGCGCTAGCGCAGGTAGTGGTGACAGCGGCGCAAGCGCCAACCTCGACTCAGAGCCATCTGCAAACAGCAGTCAAAGTAGTCTCGGGCCGCGTCCCCCCATGGGGGTGAGGTAGGTTCAAAGATACAGCTAAACGTTTCTCGATATTTGTCACATTCGTCTCTTGATGATGATGGTACGCATTTCGATTTACTTTTCCGGCGACGAATTTTTTCTGATCGATGGCCTTTGCCTCCTTCATCTGCATATACACCTTATACTTTTCTTCGAACTTCGCTTTAATGGCTTCGACCACTTCCGTACGTCTTGAAAATTCGAGAACGCCTCTCTCGTGGGGGAAATAATGATGAAATACACAATTAGATTTTGGTGGGGCTTGAATGAGGAAGCATTGTCGTTTTTTACGTCTTCCAGTTGAGGAGGAACGGGTACATACACATGTGCATGGCGAGATGCATCGCGCACAAGTTTTGTTTTTCTTTTCTGGTAATATTGCATTTGGGGTGGCGTCTTGATGTCTGCATATAATTTCTATACTCCATTTTTCCACAGTTGCTCTGGGACAGCTCATGCGAGTGAGTGACTGAACAGTATTTTATCTCGTCTATCCTTCTTCATAAGTGGACTTTTTATTGGTGGGAGCAACGGATAGGGATCTTTGGTATATGACAGACAAAGGATTTTCCTTTCATGTTTCACTACTTCACTTACCGGCTAGTTATGGTGGGAGGAACTCTGCTTGGCGCCATGTGTCAGACAAATTCTAAAATGGTGAAATTGATGAGGAAGTAGGAAAAGTTCTAACCTCATCCACAAGGTTGAATGGAAAGGAGAATGGGAAGTAGAGGTGATGGCTATGGGATATCTATTTCGTTGGTTGGTTGCTAGACGGATGGGCTGGGATGGAATAGGATGGATTTGACGGTGTTGTATAGACAAATGGATGAATGGGCGGATAGTTAGGCTTGGGCGGATTTTCATCATGGTGAATTGATGGCCTGAGAGTATAAGAGGCGCGCTATTGGGAGGGAATGAAGGTTACAGTCTATATAAGGAGGGGTGGTGGAAGATGAAAGATGGGCGTGAGTGGTTTGGCAGAACAGAGTCAGTGTGTAGGCAGTCAATCATTTCTGGGAAGTAAATACGAGAGATAATTTGGAAATTTTGTTAGGCATTTGGCTTTGTGTGATGTGTGATGTGTGGTGTGTGGTGTGTGGTGTGTGGTGTGTGAGATGTGAGATGCATGAAATTATCGCTTTCGCTTTCGCTTTCGTAATTGCGAATACGAATGCAGGCAGGTGCAAGGTATATGGTAGTGTACCTAGCCTAGATAAGTAAATACTGTTCAGCATAATAATCTGTTTCATGTTCAGATGAAAGATCGAGTGTGTTTCCTGACCTGTTGATAAGAGTCAATGGGTGGGCTTTGTTTCTTGCCTGTTTACACTGGTGATGTTTGTGATAGGGTATGATTATTTTTGAGTTGATTGGTTATTTGTTGGTGGTGGTGGTAGATGGAATGGAATGGTTGATTGGTTAATTGGTTAATTAATGAGGAGTTACGAGTGGGGAGTTGGTGGTGGATGTGGATGTGGATGTGGAAGGAGATGGAAGTGGAAGGAGATGGATGAGTATGTGGATGGGTATGTGGATGGGTATGTATAAAAGTATAAATGTATCAGATTGGGAGATTGGGAGATTGGTAAGTTGAATTTGTTGGATTGGGGGAGTAGAGGGCTGGAGGGAAGTGGGAAGTGTGATTTAGGGGAGGGAGAGGGAGGGAGAGGGAGGGAGAGGAAGGGAGAGGAAGGGAGAGGAAGGGAGAGGAGAGACTTTGAATAAATAATATGTTAGTGGTGTTGATATTGATGTTTAATAGATGATGGATGTAAATGATTGAAATGGATTTGTATGTGTAGAGACGAGAGAGAGAGAGAGAGAGAGAGAGAGAGAGAGAGTGTGTGTGTGTGTGTGTGTGTGTGTGAAACTTTCAAAAGCGCCTTTTATATAGAGATAGGTGTTGGTATAAATATGTTAATTAATATTAATATATTTAGGCGAACAATTTATTTACAGGAAATGGGTTTGTGGAAGATGTGATTGGTTCGGTTTGAGGAGGGGAGGAAGGGGGGGAGGAGAGGGAAGGAGAGGGAAGGAGATTATTTGGGGTGGGGGGTAGTAGATGTTAGATGGGTTTAGATGATAGGAGAGTTGAAGATTATGGTAAAAAGGAGGAGGGAGATGAGGATGAGGATGAGGATGAGGGGATGGAAGTGCAGCAGGAGATGGTGAGATGATAACGAATCAATATTATGAGATTATGAGATCGGGATAGAATGAATGGGTAGAGATATAATTTCTATATCCCTTTTCGCGAGGGGGTTCTTTTCGCTTATTGGATGGAGGGGGTGAGTGGGTGAGTACTAGGTAGTATCATGAATATGGTAAGTGTGAGAGAGGATGAAGAATGTGAGAAGAGAAGGTAGCTAGCCAGCCAGTACGAGAGACAAAAATAAAAAGAGAAAAATCCCGCGTATTGAGTTCATTTTCTTGATATTGGGATTTTGAATTTTGGATTTGGATTTGAATTTGAATTTGAAAGGGGATTTTAAAGATTGGTGATGGATGGATGGGGTGTACTTTCGTAGATGTTTGGGTAGTTTATACGTTAGATTTCTTTCTTAGTAATGCACACCCTAATAGTATTTTTACCACTCCGGGTAGCTTATTCAATGATGTGTTTTTTCTTGAATAGGCGAGAAGGCGATGGATATCCGATAGAGTAGGATATTGGAAGGAAGGAATGATATTATATTTATTGTGTTAGATGGATAGATTGTGAGTTGCGAAGAATGAAGGAAGGAAGAATTGTATTTGGACTGTAGTTCATATAGTGGATGTGAAATATGATGATCTATTTATTTGGGGGGTTGTAGTATATATCTATCTATGCAGATTGAGTGGGTTTTTTTTTTTTTTTTTTGAATACCTAGTAGGATGGAATGGCGAGCGTGATCTGTGGGAGGAGAATGTGATGGTGGCGGAATGTGTGTGTTGTACGTGTTGTTTGTGATGAGTTATCTTGAGTTTAAGGGCGTGCAATGAAGTAATTTTGAAAAGTCTCTACTCGTAGTTTCTATTTCAGGTAAGCGACGGTGATGATGCGGGAATGATAGAGGGTGGGAGATATATTCAATACTGTAAACAAATACTGTAAACACCGGAAAAGAAATCGTGAGATGAAGCAAAGTGAAGAGAGACCGGGACTGGATCAAGCTATTGAGCTATTTGCTATTTGCTATTTGCTATTTACAGCATGATCGTAGAGGATATTAGGATTTGAAAGAGATTAGGCATATGAGCCCGGGGACTGCATGAGGTCTACAGGTGTAGTTTAGATGTTGTGTTTATTGTAATTGCAGGAAGTTATGTGCAGAAGTGGCTTGTCAAAGGTGAGTAGACAAAGAGGCAGGTATGTATGTAAAGTAAAGTAAACATCCACGAAATTAACAGATTGAATGACAAACGAAAGCAAACGGACGAAAGTGGTGAAGCGAGAAAAATGTCTATCATCTTGATTTTGTGAATGAAAGCAAGTTGGACTAAAGAGAGACTTTTGACAAACGGAAGAGAGCGAAGAGAGGAAAGATCAATTACCTGGATTTTCATCTTAATCTTCTATAGCATTCACTTTTCTTCCTCCTCGTCGAGTAAGTGAAGCAACACATAAGATGAAAAGGGAGTACAGAGGTAAAATGTGTCATTGTATGTTTAAAGTTATCAAAAACTAAACTGCTGCTCACAATCATGCGGGCTACCTAAATCAATCAAGTACAGCCACTGTTGGCAAAAAGCGAAACCTCAAACACTGTTTGCTTAGAGCTCCGAGTCCGGTGAATCGAGATCAACCGCATCTCTTGACCGTAATGACCTTCTCGGCGTGTTCCGCTTGTTCCGGTCGGCCATGAAACTTGTCCAGACCACTTCCCATAGTTTCTTGAAGTCAATCAGTAATTTCTTCTGATCTTCTTTCGAGAGCTCCATCCTCTGAAACCCATTCACGTGATTGCCCAATCGTTGAACCAAATCCGCTGCCCAATCATTGACTGCTTCGAGACCTTCCATATTCAATTCAAATCCCATTGAAGATACCAAGACTTCCCTTGCTAGGCATTCCACGCGACCCTTCCAGTCCAAAATCTCATTAGCGATCGCTTCCAAACGACTATTGTCAACTCTCCTTGTAACATAGTTGATCATCAAGCTCTTGAGCCGATTTCTCAAAAGATAAGATTGCTCTACCAACATCAGCAGATCGTGTGGCGGTTCCGGAAAAATTGCGGTGTTGTGAAAGTATGATGTGAAGCCATACTTGTGACCTTTGCACTGAAGACAAAGAGAAGCTATCGTAGACTGGGATCGAGGCAAAACACGGGATACCGATGGAGGTTGAAGAGAAGTTGATGAGCCATTGATATGCTGTATTCCGGACATTGGAGGAGTTGAAGCAATTGTTGATGTTCCATCTGGCTCGTATAAAGAATTTGCAGGGGAATAGAAAGAAGTAATCTCGACTTGAGAAATTCGTGTTCCTCCGAGTCCTTTAGAACTAAGATGATGATGTTGTTGATGATGACAAGAATCGTAGGATTTCGTCAAAGAAGAAAGTTCATGTTCATGTCTATTATGAGGAGGTGACGGAGGAAACTTGAGAGATCCGAGACTTGAAGCTGTGACGTGGTCGGACAGTGGAATGCTCATGGTAAGAGCGTAATATACGTAGCGATATGAATCTAGTAGAAGAGACCTTTTGGATCAAGTTTCTCGTATTGGACAATCGAAGTATCGTAGTAATTTGTGAACAATGTTTGAAATTGTAAGTTGGCGGAGAGAAGGAAGGAAGGAAGGAAGGAAAGAGATTTTGAAATTTGGAGAAAAGATTTCTGTTTAAATGGATGGTAATTTGTGAATTTTAATCAACGTATGTATGGAAAGAAAATAAATAAAGGTAGGTATGGGAAAATGAAGGTGCAAGTTTTTGAAAGAATGAGAAGGAGTGAAGTGAAGTGTGACATGAAAGCAAAGAAGAAAAAAAACTTGCTACTGATCTTCTTT